TGAGCTGGAGGCTCCGGCAGGTCCCGCCGAGCCTCAGCCAATCCGCGGCCGCCGCCAGGCTGTGCTCGTGTTCGCCGCTCGCGCCTCAATAAAGTTTTTGTTCAAAAAAAAAACCAAACAAAACCCAGCGCACGTCTCTAGGGGCGCTGGGTGGAACCATTGTGCTGCAGGGGTGTCCCGTCCCGCAAGGCAGGTGGCTCCAGCGCGGTCCGCGTCAGCCCCCTGCCTGTGACACGGGAAGGATTCTCGGGCGAGAGCGAGGCTGCGCGGCAGGCGCCCTTCTCAGGACCGTCCCATTCCCCCGCCCCCCCGCGGCGGGAGGTGGTGCGGTCCGGGCTCGCCCGCGGCGGTGGGGCGGCAGAGCCGGGGCGGACATGGCGCGGGGGTTCCCCTGCAGCCCCGCGGGGTCGGGGCGCCCGTGGGTGTCACACTGCCCCCACAGCGCATGCGCCCTGTGGGCTGCCCTGCGCCCCCCGCGGTGTCCATCCTGGCCTGTCCCAGAGACCCGCACCCAGCCGGGGGGAGGGGGCGCCCCGGCGGTCCTGGCACTGGCACTGGCACGGCTCGCAGGGGCAGGGCCAGGCTGAGGGCTGTGACACCTGTGGGGACCGCGGGCCTTGTGGCCCCAGAGCAGGGGCCACCGCCGTGTGTAGAGGGGTGTGGGCAGCCTTCGCGGGACAAAGGAAAGACAGAAGAGGGGCGGGAGGTGAAGGCCAGAGGTGCAGAGCGGGGCGCGGGCAGAGCACGGGACAGGATGTTTTTGTTGCACAGACCCGCGGCTCGTGGTTTCATTCCCCACAGCCAGCAGGCCTGGGCGCTCCTCCGTGCTGTGTTAGGCAGGCAGGAAGGAAGCTGGCCCCCTGCCTCCACCGCCAGCACTGAGGCTTCCCGGTGCTCACTCCTACGAGAAGGCAGTTGCCTCAGCCAGAAGCAGAGTAGCCTAAGTGTAGAAAGGGGAAGACTGGCCACCTTTCTCCACTGTGCCGGTGCTGTCCACAGCTACAGTTAGGCAGCTTAAAAAGCAGGTTATTTGATCCGTTGCACTCATCCTAACACTGAATCATAGAAAATCAGGGTTGGAAGGGACCTCATGAGGTCATCTAGACTAACCCCCCTGCTCAAAGCAGGACCATCCCCAGCTAGACCATCCCAGCCAAAGCTCTGTCAAGCCAGGCCTTAAGAACCTCCAGCGATGGAGATTCCACCACCTCTCCATGCAGCCTCTTCCAGTGCTTCACCACCCTCTTCCTAGTGAGAAAGTGTTTCCTAATATCCAACCTAAGCTTCCCTTACTGCAGCTGAGACTGTTGTTCCTTGTTCTGTCACCTGACACCACTGGAACATCCTGGTTCATTTCCTGGCTGTAGCGGCAGGAGACAAGATATTTGGCAATCGGGAAGACTTATGGGCTAGTAATATGATAATATACTTCTGAATTCTTCAGCATCTGACTTTTCCTACTTTTGATGGAGCAATATGTTGAATAGACCTGGGAGAGATTGAAGTAGCTTTCTGTTATCCTATTGCTTGCACAGGTACCAAGCCGTTTTTCTGAAAATTGAGCTTGAAAACTTGGGGTTGACTTTTATAATCAGAACAATATAGTAGGCTATATAAACTTGCACCACTTGAACACAATAGATTACACTGTTTCTGTATTTTTCGATTGCAGTATTTACCTTCTGTCATTCCAGCATGAATTGATTATCTTGTTCAGTAGCATGCTCAAGTGCTGTTCCCAAGTTAAATGCAGTTATTTTCCTTCTTGCACAAATTGTTCATTTGGATTTATTTTTCGTTTTGAGAAGGAAAGAAAATCTGTGGAGAGCCATGAGGATATTCTCCCTCCAAACCCCTGTGGTTGCTAGTGATTGATCAAATTACATAGTAAAATTGGGTCATCTAAATTTGGGGACATGAAACAGTCCCAAATGCAAGTATCATGTAGGACTCCATATAGTATAGCAAGTACACAAGCTAAAGTGACATGCTGTCTTCTAAAGCAATTGCACATTTTGACAAATTGTCTATAGAAAAGTGACACTTGGTAGATTCTGAAGCGTAAGCATTATAAATCTTTCTGTAATTCCTGTAAAGGCTAATTGAAGCATTAGTTTTAATTTGTTTTTTGTTGTTTTTAATAAGTATGGAGGAGCTCCAGGAGGACCAGCATTCCCTGGACAGGCTCAAGATCCTTTGTATGGTTATTTTGCTGCAGTAGCTGGACAGGTATGGTATTTATTTCAAAACCATTCACTTGCAATTATAATACAAGACAAAACACTTATTTTCTTACTAGGTTAATTCTTTTACATTGTTGTTTGTAGTACTGGCATATATGCCAGAACATGTACAAATGTTTCTGTGTACCCAGGTTATTAAAAAAATACATATATAGCAGAAGTAAAATGTTAGCAGTCCTGATAAATAAAGCATGTGAAGTACTATAGGAGAACTAACTAGCAATTGTGTAACTGTGTGAGGACAAAATAGGGAAAGAAGTCAAGCACACAGTATCGTATTTGAGTTCCCTTTGGCTCAGTTCAAACACGAGCTTCCTTACAGCCCATCAGTTTGCTATTTGAAAAAAATTATTCATGCAGCATTAGGGGTATAACATCTCATTGCTCCTCCTATTCCTCAGTGACAAACAGAGCAAAACCATAATACATTTTTTGCAGTAACTGTTCATCTTAAAATCTACACAACACTTAAAGTGGATCCCTGTTAGCAGCAGTAGGTCAGTGCTCTGGTGTCATATTGGTCCTAAGAAACTGCTGTCTTTATAGTCAGGGTTCGGTGTATAGATAGTATGGAATATGTTCCCAGGGGAAATATAGCCACTCTTACTAGGAGTTGCTGCAAATGAGCTTCAACTGTAGTTATGACAATTCATGATCAGTGCAATCTAGCAATAAAAATGAAGTGAGGTTATTAAATGAATCTATGTGAAGCAATTTACTAAGTATACATTAAAAGATTCTTCCTATGTGAGGGCTCCATTCTTTATTTAAATAAAACTAGAGATCTTTAGAAATGTGACAGCCTGAGCTGGAGAGAACTACATCTTACCTGCTATTAGCAGTCCTTCAGATACATAAAAGCCTTTTAAGTTTACTGTGGCACGGAGCTGATAAAATAAAAATACTAGATGCATTGTACCTGCGAGTATTTAAGAGGTCAAACCTTCCCAGTTTTTCAAGAAGTTAAAAGGGCTAGTCAAACTGGTTTGGCAGTCTTATTTGCAACTTCTGGGAGGTATTAATTCTAAGATGTATTTGTACATCTTTAATATTAGCCATTGAGCTTTATATCAAATAACTGATTTATTTAAGGTGTATTTTTTAACTAGTTTCAAATAAGACCTTAAATAACTTAGACAAAATATGCTTGAACCTTTTATCATAAACTTAATTCAGAGCATTGAATCTCTCTCACGATTGGAACTGCTTTGATTTCTGAGGCCCACAAAAGCCCTTAGTTACATTAAGTTAGATTGTTTTGTTTTGTAGAACATGTCTTTTAATACCTGACACTTTCCGATTTCCAGCCTTGAATAATTTTTAAAGTCACATTCTCCTATCCTCAGCTTGTCAAGATACTGACTTTGATTCAGAATTGTTAAGAATCTTAAATTATAAAAGCAATTCCCTATTTGTTCAAAATTGATTTAACACTTTGAATCCGGTACTAGAGTTTGTTTAAATATATGATCTCTAACCAACTTACACAACAAAAAGGTAGTGTATGCAGGACAGTACACCTGAAAATGATAGGCTGAAAACCAGGATGCTGATAGATGTAGACTGAGCAGTGATGTGACATATGGAATCAAGATGCTTTTGCCTTTTGTTGAATATCAGCTAAAAATAAAAATAAAGAAAATACCTTAATTTGTAGGATCTAGTCTGGCAATGATAGGGAAGCACCTTATATGTGTTTCCCTCCACTTCCTTCCTAGAAATACTATAATTGTGATATCCAGAGAACTATTTGAGAGAGAATCTCATTTATCACATCTTTCAGCAGCAAGTCTTAGTTTTATGAAGTTTAAATAAAAGCTACAAAAGAAAAATCTCAAGTTGGGTAAATTAGATAAATTCCAAATATAAGCTAAATCTTGTTTCTGGACCTCATGTGTTTGAATAAGTCATACCTATTTGCATATACATATGCATTGGTGGTTCATGATTTCTGGTTGATTTAAGAAGGATACTTTAGAAGAAGTAAAGTTCCTAATTGAGCAGATAACTTTTTCCTCTCAATTTATTCTTATAAAATATATTTATTTCTGGTTTAATTTATTAACAATTCAGTGCTCCAAACCAACTTTTTTGGCAATTGCCAGTTTGTTTTTTGTGGTTTCTGATTGTAGAAACTTAAAAAAAAATAATTTAAGGTCTGTTAGGTTGAAACTAGTACATTGGGGTAGCCGGACTTTTGCTTAAAGTTCTACACCTAAGTTTCTGTGCCCTTGGATCTTGATGTGCCCTTGGATCTTGATCTTCCCAGTTCTCCTGAGCAGATGTTACCAGTAGTATGTTATGTAGCAAAAAATAATATTCTTGGGTTTAGATCTAGACTACTGATCCTACTACAGTTTAAGATAAGCAGGTTTACACAGGTAGAAGCTGTGGCATATTGAAGTGCAAGAAAGAACCCCCCCTCAACAGAGAGGCAGGTTATAAAAAAGGTGGCTTTGCTAGGTGTCAGAGATACAAAATCATCTTCTGCAGAGGCAATTAGTAGTTTAATACCATGGGAAAAGGGATGGAATACTGGAAAGAAATTAAATTAACTGATGTCTTTTTTGTTTCTAAAAGGATGGTCAAATAGATGCTGATGAGCTGCAGAGATGCCTGACCCAGTCAGGCATTTCTGGAGGATATAAACGTAAGTGGTCAATGAAACTAATCTGTGCTTGGTTTTTATAACATTATCAGTCACAAGAAAGTTGACAACTGTGTTTTGTGCATAGTTCCTGTGTTCACTTGACAAGAAGGATTTTTTTGCCTTGTTTAGCCTATTTTCAAATGTAAATGTAAGTTTAATTTTCTGTATACATTCCACTCTGGAGACCAATGCATTTTGCTGCAAGAACTTATACCTAGAAACTGGTTGTTCCAGGTTAGGGTCATATCTTTGGACTTAGACACATCATGAATTGGATGATGCTTCAGAGACATTTTGGTTCCTTACAGTCATTAAAAAAAACAAAAAATACCTGTCGCTCTACCAACAAACAACTTTGAGGTAAACAGACTATTCCAACTTTTCTCTGAGCCTAATCTGCATATAAAATTAACTTTTCCAAATAGGAGATTTTACCACCTTCAACTCTCCTATGAAATGTGAACTTTCATTTTACTCGGGAGAACTTTTACAGTCTTTTTTCCAATGCCTGATGAAGGGGGTTTGTGCCCGAAACCTTGCAATTAAAGATTTTTTTTTTTTTGCAAAAATCTAGTTGGTCTAATAAAAGAAAAGATATCACTTCTACCATAAGTCCTGGTTGCTTTTTGGCACTGTACTTTAAATTCAGCGCAGACCTGCACTGAGCCATGTGCGCCCAGAAGAGGCATTGCATTAGTTTGACCTCGCTCGCCCAATGTCTCTATAGATCAGGGGCTTCAGCCGTGTGTTTTTGGCACTTTTATCTAATAGCTGATTGACTC